GTATGGAAATGCTCTGTGCAGGTGTTAATCAAGTTAAATCCCAACAGCCAATCAGCAAGAAATGCTCTGTGCAGGTGGAAATGCTCTGTGCAGGTGTTAATCAAGTTAAATCCCAACAGCCAATCAGCAAGAAATGCTCTGTGCAGGTGGAAATGCTCTGTGCAGGTGTTAATCAAGTTAAATCCCAACAGCCAATCAGCAAGAAGAATAGAGGAAAGCTGCATGCCTATTGGTTGATGCCCTGCATTCCATTGTGATGACTCATACCCAAACGTGGTAAACATGGCACACTAACACAGTAATACATTTGCTATAACACAGCCAAAAAACTCAAATAAAACCATTCTAAAAGCCTGTATCACAAAAAATTAAAAAACGCCTAGGGGTACTTGCCCACTGTACCTCCATACCAAATTTCAGGACCTTAGGCCCTAAAATGAAGAAGCTGAATCCATTTAAAAAATGTCAGGAGAAGAAGAAGAAGGAGGAGGAGGAGAAGAAACACCAGAAAAAAAGATATATGGTTTCACCTCACCACTTCGTGGTGTGGTGAACCCATAATAACTGTAATTGTAGTAACAAGTAACAAGCATCTAAATTTACAGTAAGCGCAATTTCAAAAACATATGAAAAGTATATCTACTTCATGCATTACGCAGTGCAAAGCGCTTGCCTTCATTCCTGCATCTTCAGCAACTCCTCCTTCATGCAGGGCGTGCGGACCCGGGAACGTCACTCCTCCTGCATGCGCAGAGACAGCTGCCCCTCCTAGTCTTCCTCCTGAAGTCTTCTCAAGGACCATCTGGACAGCTTTGGACCCGAGATCCACGCGTCCAGTGCCGCCCTTGCTGTCCAGTAGAGCATCAGCGATGCTGTCCAGGTTCCTCTGCAATTCCTGGGTCACTTCTCGTTGCTGCGTGCAAAACACAGCAGGACTTAGTAAAGACAATACGGAATACGAAAGCAAAAAGCAAGACCATCAGGATACTCCAGAAAAGACAAACACCCGAAAACATAGAATTTTCCATTGTTTAGTACGCTGTGGTTATTTCATCTGTAGAAAGGAAATGGTCAGAATGTTCATGCCAACAATGGTGATCAAAAAGTCATTTAGATATCAGGCAGTTGGATATGCTGTATCTAGTATCAGGTTTCCTCAAAAGAGAGTCTTACAATGGCCCACTGCTGCTCCTGTTTCTCTCGGAGTTTCTTCTTCATCTTCTGGCGGAACTCCTCCCGTTTACGTGGAGGAAGCCTGTGCAAAGCTGCGATGTCCTCCCCATCCTCTGAAACTGCCTCCAAACCTCCCGACTCCATCAGTAATGACACGGTGTCCACCACGGCTGGAGGAAAGGACAACATGTCAGTGCTTTGTTTTTTTATCGTTTCAACGTTGCAGGACACACTAGACTTAGGCAATAGTGTCAAACAAAAGACAGTCGGGGATACCTGCAGCCGTGGGAGCGAGTTCCTCCATGCTGGCTCCTCCAAGTGCACCTCGCTTGATGGAGTCTGCCATGGCTCCCACCACGTAACCTCCCTCAGCCTGTTCAACAATAACAACATCTATGGTTAACTCTATCTAGACCGGGCTTTTTTGAGCAAGATTTGACCGGGGGGGCGGGGCTCTTTCGGCCCCCCCCTCAGAACTCGCTAACGGTATGTCGTATGGCTACCAAATTTTCAGAGGATGGTGTACTAGTTAAAATTTATCATATCTACAATTTTTTTGTCATTATGACGTAATATGACGTCATTATGACGTCATTAATGGGACTTTATTGGCCAAAACCGTCTAGATAGGCTATTCCCTGAAAACTAAATGGTATTCAACATAACTTTACCAAAAGTGTTTATGACAGAATATTAGAGTGTACTAAGTCTTATGTTGCCCATAGCAACACCGGTGACGTCATAAAATAACGTCATACATATTTAAGATATCCGCCATCTTGGATCATCAATGTTGAATTTTCAAAAATAGTTTTTTTTACGTGATAAAGCCTAAAATACATTGTAAACATACCAAAGACCTTCATTTAAACCTTTTTTGGAAAAGAAATGGAAGTATTGATGAAATTTTAAGGAAAATAACTTGTATATACCTGTTCTAATGATATGGTCCGCCATCTTGGATTTTGGCCAATGACGTCATCAAATTAGCATAAATTATGCATATTTAATGAGAAAATTTACATAAATTCATATGGGATGTTATTAATATTAGAAACCATGAGTAACTTGACATAAAACCCATAAAATTCTATTCTTGAAACAAAAATTACTAAATTTAGCAAAAAATGCCTGTCAGAAACCCGTTGCCATGGCAACACAAAAAATTATTATCTTATTCCAATGATAGAAAATTGTTGCCAACAATATTCTAGGAAAAGTCACCAAGTTTGGTTATTCTAGCCCTAGCCATTCAGACGCTATGTGACATCAAAGTTGGCGCGGGCACTTTTAGCCCCCCCCCCCGGTCTAGATAGGGTTAATCAGACGTAAGTTATGACAATGCAGGTATGGCTATTTTCAATGTAATTATACACATCAGCCTTGTTCATCTTTTTACCGAAGCTCATGCAATCTGCCTAAAACACTTTATTTCCACCAGAAGAACCAGAAGAATAAGGATGACATTAATGACATCATCCTTACCTGTGCATCTAACGACAGTGTCCCGCATAGAGCAATGACGTCCCTGGTTATCATTGCCAGTGTCTCAGTAGAATCTTCAGCTGAAGATGCGCGAGACAGCCTAGCGAGGGCTGCCATGGCGTCCGTGCAGGTTGTCGAGTCGACCTGAACAAACGAAAAGCAACCTAGACGTTTTAGAGTGTTGAGGGACCTTCTAGACGCCAAGAGAACATTGCGCATTCACGCAGTGTAAACAAACGAAAACAGCCAAGTATGTTGCAAATGACGCTTACAAAGTCTGTACATGAAAATGTAGGTTTGTTTGTTTGTTTGTTTGTTTGTTTGTTGGAAAGTACCAAGTTCAAACTAAACAAAACTGGTCTTAATTCGTGTGTCTCACCCTTCTGTCCTCTGAGGAAGATCCTTTGTTGTCCTTATACGGAATAAGTTGATCCAGTATACTCCCAGGGTCGTCCTTGTCGTACTGCAGGTCAGCGATGGTGTTTATAGTTCTGGTTTGCTGGGGGCTGCTTTTACTTGCCTCCGGTGGCTCCTTTAGATAGATTAAAAACCAACTGGGTGAACCCAGGGTCCACATACAATGAAGTACTCCCCACTGTGGCTCTTCCAGCAGCTTGAATAGTGAATTGACCCCCATAACCACATAAACTAATAAACAGCTCAGACGGTCCAGCCACCAAAAACAATGGCAGGGACAGATTAGCATAATAACTGTCGATCAGATTCAAATATTTTGCCTTACTGGTTTTCAAAGTAACCTTAACAAACTATATGATGATAGGTAAAGATGATTGCAACCATCAAGAAATTACTATCAGCAGCTTCCAGTCTGTGGAAAATTAAGCTGTGTTCAAATTTCAAGTTATACATGTAACAGCCCTATCAACAAAAGTGTAGACACACTATCTAACCGTTATATTTGTAACTTGAAAATGTCTGCCTCACAGCTGAATTTGTATTGACAGTAACTAAGTGTGTCTAGAAACATGTCCTCTAATTGTGGTGTCCATTTGGTAGTCTAAGAAAACAGTATATAATATGTAGAGTGGAGCCCTGTTAGAACCTTACAAGTGCAAGCCAATGTCTGGCCAAGGATCTGACACTACCAGACAGGGTTTGACAAGCCATGTTCTGTCCTTATATTCTGGATTAGGTGAGACTAACTTCTTACAATAGTACCTTATCTGTTGTCTGCACATTTTAAAATATCTTGAAGACAAACTTGTCTTGTTCAGCCAGGTTTCTGCCCATGTTACCACCACGGTAGCCAGAGGTAGACTGAGGTCCGGTAGTTTACGTTAGCCGAATTTATTGGGTGATTTTATAGTACAACCTTCCTCTTTAAGACTTTTAGAAGTGGTTTTGTTTTGATGATTATCTACCCTAATTGTTGTCGGCATGATAATAAGTTGCAAAGAACCTAAAGCCAATATATAACTTCTTTTGAAAACTCAGCAGATGACTTTACTTACGTGTGAAACGAAGGTCACAATTGGTGTCGGGGGCGGGCTGGTGGTCGTCTCCTCTGATTCTGACAAAAGAAAATCTGGGTACACTTTACAAAGTAGCTCATTCACTATGCCAGTTACCTAACTTCTGCCAGAGGCTGGATACTTTGTTGCTTGATACTTTATTTTGTGACAGTTGCACGATTGCTTAAGATGTAATTTTAATCATTGCATCGACATGAGAAAGAAAAAAAAATATGTAACGACAAATCATAATGTACCGATAGCATCTCCTTTTGTTGTAGTGGCCTTGAGGGAAGTACTGGTGGTGAAAGGAGCAGTAGACGACGTAGAAGCTTCAGTGCTGACAGTAGACGTAGTCGGCGAGGTGTTGTACTCAGCCGCGGTTGTAGCCGCTGTGCTCTTCACCGTTGTAGTAGGGTTTTCAGGTGTGGTGGTTGGCACTACCTCTGCAATAAGGAGCATTTTTGTGCATGTCGTGAGGGAAAGTTAAGGAACAATGATAATCATTATCCAAAAGATAGAAATAGCCTGGCCCATTGTTACACACACAACTTGTTGCTGAGCTGATATTAGTAATGTTTTTTTTTTTACATGACGTATAATTGGGGGGTCATATATAGTTATAACGACTGTCGGCACCATGTTGCTGGGTTGCATAGATCCAAGATGACGGTGGGAAGCATATAAGTCATATAGCCTGGTGATCACTGAATATGTGAAGCTCTAAAGAAGCAGGTACATTGTTACAAACCGTTTCTCACATATTGACTTCGTAAGAGACATGCAGCTTCCGCCATTTTGGTGGGCTTAACGTAGTCAAGTGAGTGTAAAGTCTACCCTGAAGAAACCATAATATTATCATGTGTGTTA